GTAGAGAAGCACACAATAAAAAAATATATATATATATATATAAAATCTGTACAGATTTAATAGATTAAGGAAGTAAAAATGACCTTACCTGAAGTGTAGAAGCGTCATGGTATCTTAGGGGGTTGGATATTCAAAGTTCAGTATTCATTCGTTCGATTGTTGAGTGTAGGCAGGTTGTTTGTATCACCCGGAAAATGCAATTGCAATATACAGCTGGGTGCTGTTGGGCATGTTACCGGTAGATTGAGGTCGACTGGACGTATCCCCGATCCAGTCGATGGCGAGAGTCGTTTGAATAACGTAGGAAACGGGACGACTATCCTATGTCACGTTACCATTGCCATATTCTCTGACCATCACTCGGTCACATTTCCATAACGGAAACATTTATAAATTGATTTCTATTTTTAAAAAATATCTATATTCTTGTATTGTTGGGTTAAATAGATACTTTAACATATTTTAAGACTGATTTTTCTGGATATATCAGATATATAAAATTAGCTACTCCATGGCGTTTAGTCACCTACACTCAATAAGAAACCATTAATTAAGAGCTTAATTAATGGTTTGTTGTTGGAATGTGATTTTATTGGAGGAAATATTTTCTAACATTTTTATTGAAAGCATGAAAGTAATCTGAAAGATCTTATTACACTTTTAAACAGGGATCAGCGAGGCATGCAACATCCTAAGAACTATCCATTATAGAAAAATGCGGTTAGTAACGTTTTGTTTCTACATTATATGGGAAGCAATGTAATTGTTCTAAGACAGAATAAAAGCGTTTTAATGGATATGGATGTAGACAGAAATGTTACAGGTTCATATAAATTCCTACAAAAATGATCAAGTTTGTTATTTTCAAACATAAAAACACGTATATTATATTTAATTTGTATGCTTTAATTCGTATCGATTCGACTTTATAAGGGAGGTGGAATCCGGAGCATCATCGAAGTTATCTTATCTAAAATCATAGAATATTTCTTGAGAGAAACTAGGAAATACTTTCCCTATCCTATTATTTTCATCCCATTCCATTATCAAATTATAAATCGCGAATCACGTTTTCACGTCTGTGCACTGATTCACGACATATCATCCACTTTTTAATGATCCTTAGTTCCTTATTCGCTTTTATTGTTCCGATATGACCTCTTTCTCTACAAATATCGTCGAGCGTTGCAAGGATGCATCTTAAATTCGAATATTCTTGGATTAAATATGATATAATTTTTATAATTTACAGTTAAATACTTTCAAAACAATTGTACATCAGTAAGGTATGTACGCGTGTGACTAGTCTAAATTCTATTCATACTCATCCAATGGATCCAAAAAGCTAGAGAGGAATGAAATTATTGTATTTTCTACTTTTTTTTTGTAATTATATTTTGTCTGAGCATAAATATACTTTTATAAAACAGCGGAAGCTTGAAACTTATCAATGAATTGCCTACTGTCAATCTTGACATCAATGGTGAAGGCAATCAAGTGGTTCACTCAACTGATTCGAATATCAACTGCTTCGTTGAATTTAATAGACATATCTCGGTCACCGTAATTTATCAATACCCTTTAACCCACCGAAATTATACATTTTATTTTTTCGTACTAGAAAGAATAAACAATATAATCCCTACGTGACTAAAATATGAAGAAAAAAAATTTCTATTAAGAAGAGAAAATTTAAATAATTCTGTTTAATACAATTAAAAATAATAAAATGTGTAACTGTGAATATTTAATTAAGTGTACAGGAAAGTTTTTCTGGGAAGCATTTTTTATGCCGATTAACGAAATCGTCGAACGAGTATAATTTTTAGCGAGAGAGAAAGAGACTTTTTAGAGCAAAATTTTCTTACATAATTCGCTTGTCCTAAATAATTGATATTAAAGTGATAATCGGTGAAAGAAATTAGGCCTATTACAGAATCATATGCATATAAATTTTAATAGCAACACGTGAAATTGCTCGTAAAAAACGTGCTTTGTGATATGCTCATTTCACATTTAATCATATAACTAATATAATTGAACGAAACATCTCGTATGATATCTTATAATCCTATAAAAAATGTTTTAATTTAAAATATTTTTTAAGTATATTTTAAATTTAAAATTGAAATTTCGCTGGTATTTTTATTTGCACTTTTTTCATCCCATGTATATAATAGGAATGTTGTAAGCTTACAGCTTAAAGAAATACAATATTTTAAATAAATTTCCTAATTATTAATAATCGTAAACTTTATTAATCATTTCATGTAATTTTTATTTCTTATTTCTTTTTATTTTTTTTAANAGAAGCGTCATGGTATCTTAGGGGGTTGGATATTCAAAGTTCAGTATTCATTCGTTCGATTGTTGAGTGTAGGCAGGTTGTTTGTATCACCCGGAAAATGCAATTGCAATATACAGCTGGGTGCTGTTGGGCATGTTACCGGTAGATTGAGGTCGACTGGACGTATCCCCGATCCAGTCGATGGCGAGAGTCGTTTGAATAACGTAGGAAACGGGACGACTATCCTATGTCACGTTACCATTGCCATATTCTCTGACCATCACTCGGTCACATTTCCATAACGGAAACATTTATAAATTGATTTCTATTTTTAAAAAATATCTATATTCTTGTATTGTTGGGTTAAATAGATACTTTAACATATTTTAAGACTGATTTTTCTTTTAACTTTAAATTCGGTTAAATCTTTAAAAATGGAATGTAAAGATGATCATTTTTTTTATTATAGAATATCATTATTGTATCTAAGATGGCGGAAATAATTATTTTAATGTTTAAAAGTAATTTAAACGATCTCGAGATAAGGATAAGTTGGCCTACTCGCACGCTTTATGATTAAAGACGTTTCTTGGTAATCTCGAATAATTAAATCGAAACTTGTTTTACTTTTATGAATATTCTAAAAATATAATATTTATTTTTAGTTTAATTACTTATAATTTTTAAGTGATTTGCTTTAAAAGCTTCAATTGAATATTCGTATAATTAGTTTCATTTTTATATAAATATAGAAATTAAAGTGTTAAATTAGTTCTCATTTTATTTACTTTTCAAAATATTAAAAGTTAAATATAAATATATAATAATTTTACTTTCGAATTAATCGGAAAGAAAGGCTGTCTGGAGAGTAACAACCTGGAAAATAACTTATATTTGAATGGATCAATTTAGGAAATCGTCCAAAAGATGGAAAGTTATTTTCGTTACGTAGAAACAATACACGGAAATGTTTAACTGTGACATATAACAAAAAGCTTAACTTTATCCCAAACAAGGGTCACCGGGTTAGTGATCTCTGGTTTCTCATTTTCTTCTGGAAATATATTATTGAAATCTTAACGGATAAGAATAGATAACAAAATATTTTAAGTGACTTTCCTCGACGTTTAAAATCTAATCTTCCCATACATTTATATATAGTCCGTCCCTAGCTAGACATACGATTCGAATTTCAGATTTTTATTAGTTATTATTATTATATTTTGTCGAGTTTATATATGGAATAAAATATAGAATAAATTCCCGCACAAATGTTAATTATAATAATTATAATATGGTTTAAACAGAGCTTATACTATTTCCATTATGTTACACGTGGCAGGGATTGGGGGAATTTCGGATCCTGAGAAAAGTTAGTGGTCTAGACTCACAAAAAAAGTCAATTATTTCGTTATATTTATTACTTGATCCTATTTGAAAAGCTGCGAATATTACTCTATTGGTTCATTATATATTTAAAATTTAAGTTGATTTAGATGAATCTATCAGATCCGAGCCTTAATCAATTGTCTAGTTTGGCTACTCCTCCCAGTTCGGCTTTGCATTTTAAAATATTGAATTTTTTTTATAGTTTGCATTTTTATAAACTATGAAATAATAATAATAATAAAGTTCTGCTGTATAAGCTTCATGTAATGTTAAACATTTCCGTGTATAGGCCTACGTTATAATGTAAACTATAACATCCAACAATTCCGATTAACCCAGTGTCAACCGGTTAACAATCTGATCTTTAAACCTTCTTTTCTTTTTTTCATTTTAAATTAATACATTATATACATTCATTATCTTAAAAAATAAGATTGTTAATACTAAATATTTTATTTATAATTTTTGTTAGTTTTCTTTCTATCAATGTTTGGTATAAAATATAAAGCACGGTCGAATGGTTTTCCGGTAATATTCATTTCATAGAATGCATTTCGTGTGTAAAATTCATATTGCTGAATATAATTTGTTGACTTAAAAAATAAATATCTGAATCGTGATACTGGTGAAGCATTTCCGAATCCACAAATGAAATAAAAATCAGGAAATCTTTGTGAAAGATAACGGTTAAAAAAAATCCTCCCAGCGTATAATAAAAATTTAATCATAGGCAAATAGTTTATGAGGTCAAAGTTTAAATAGCCTGTATTTCATACTCTAATGATGATAGGAAATATAGATGTTTTTCTCCAATATTGAATATATTTTTTTTAATGATAATTAGTTCTAAACGAATTGAACTGACACATTTAATAAGACTGTAACGGATGGTAAAAAATTACACAATGTAAAGTAACAGCTAGGAAAATATATANATCTTTTTTTTTTCTTTTTAGTTATGTCGTGTAAAGGTTATAAAGGATATAATGCTGTGAAAATAAATAACAAATGTTAAACGGAACTTACAATGAGGAAACAATTTCTTTCATGGTAACTTCTGTTTAATGTCTTCTATTTCATAAACTGGAGTCTACTCGTTAGAATTCTGTATATGAAGTCTAACACAGTGTTTCTCAACGGGGGCGATATCGCTCCCATATGGGCGTTTTTTCATGTTGAGAGGGTGATTTGTAACAATTTATATTTTGGGGGCAAAAAACAATTTTCTGGGCGATATAGTAAAACATTATATTAAGAATAGTTAGATATTTTATTCGTTATATCGTACAATAATTAAACAAATAACATTATACTAGTCACCAATCTATTCAATGCAGTACGAATTTGGCGTTAGCCTTGGTCCTCGGCATCGGAATTTTGAAGTTAAGGGGGCGATACTACGTAACGGTTTTATTGAAGGGACGATACTACGTTGAAGGGGGAGACGATTCGTTAGAGGTTGAGAAACACTGGTCTAACAGTTGCGTTTTATAGCTTCACGGGGCCCAGGCGAGTTTGAATTAACGGGCCCATGTACAGTATTGACTTTAAACATTTTTTTTCGGGGAAGTATTTTCTTATAAAAGATTAGTTTGGGACTCCCTGTCTGTTGGGGTCCCAGGCAATTTCCCTTATTGCCCATAGAGTAACGCGCCACTGAAGTCTTTTATTAAGGTTTCTTTCTGACCATAGTCAGAAAGAAACCTTAATAAAACATTTCAGTGGCGCGTTACTNATTGACATTACATTATTATTAAATTTGCTTATGAGTAGCAAATAGTTTACAAAACAAAACAGATTATTGAATATTCAGAACTGTTTAAACAAATTAGTGATGGTTGATTGTTAAACCAATCAAATAAGTTATATTCAAAATCTATATGTTAATTGTCTCACTCTTGACTTTTGTTAGCCACTAAAAGCATATTAAATTTGTTCAAAAATATACATTTTGCATCTCATTTTGATCATGTCTCATTTTGATCAATATAAAGATGACCCAAAGTCAGAAAATTTGAGAAAAGTCACTTTTGATAGAACATAAAATGTGCCAAAGTCACAAATTTTCCCATAAACTTTTGCTAGAGCTTTCGGTCAGAAATTTCAACAGAGGACAGATTTTATGACAACTTAGAAACTGAGACAAGGTCACACCTGTTTGATTTGTAAATTCCTTTAGATTTTAATGCATTTGATGCAATTTTCAACGCAACTTTTAAACTAATAACAAACACTCGTGGACTGTAAACAGTTGCTGATCTGAGTATCATTTTGCCCAATAAAACTGTTTGCATAGAGAATGAAATGTCCCTAAATTTAATTATATTTTTCAATGAAATTGCCATATTTTGAGTAAGCTAAATAGATAATTTTGTGTTAAACGGTTAAGATTAAATAACATTTATAAGATTTTGTTTTAATTTCAATAAATATAAAAATTGTGCACTGTTTAAAAAATAAAATTGTTTCAAATAAAAATAATTAAAATTTAATATTTATATTTATGCAGTATAAGATTTATATTAATAGTAATTAGATTTTCTAAATTTAATAGGGATATATATAGAAAACAGTTCCGATATATATATTGGAACTGTTATTTCATTTGAAACTAAAAAAAATTACTAAAGAGCAACAATTTGGTTAAAGGTTAAAATTTTAAAAAATACTTCTGTAATTAAAACATTATTATCCATATGCTAAAAACTAAATTCAGAATGATTAAGAAAACAGTTCCTATATATATATATAGGAACTGTTTTCCATGCCAGACGTGCAGCCCTGTCGAGCGGTTAATGGCATCTCCGTTGCTCGTCGTCGTGCCCAACACGCGTAGAAACCGAGTGCATCGACAAACCGAGATTGCTCTGCTGGTCTTTATAGCCCGAAACTGGGTACCACATGATCTGATGCATACGCAAACTTAATCATTTGCATATCCTCTACTGCTGCTGCAATTTGCAGGTGCAATCTATGCGCATCACTTTGTGGTGTTGTGATTTCACTTTTGAGGAATGTATAAAAAATATTTTACACTGTCTAATACCTCATCTATCTTAGAGAAATGAGAAAAGAATTGATGATAATTCCTTATTAACATTATTTATAATAATTTACAAATTAGCCTAATAAACAGAATGAGTCAGATTGAAATCTTTCGAAAGTCGTTTCCATTGTTACGCTTCGTGGTGATCATTTCTTCCATGGCAAATGGCTCGAATAGATGGAAAATACGACAAGATGTAGTTTGAACAGTGAGGCCCCCTATAACACTGTTGATAATTCCGTTTTTATGAATTCCATGTTGTATGAATCACTTAGATTTTACAAATATGTGAACCGTTCACAGCCCGGCACATGTATTTGTAAAATCTAAGTGACTCGTACAATATGGAATTCATATAAAACGGAATTATTAACAGTGTTATAGGGGGGTCGACTGTACATATAAATTG